TGGAAATTATTATGTATCTCAAATATATGTGAATCCACTACATCTATCCGTAGATACATATATCTAAGGTCAAACCCACTAGTGGACCCCTTAAAGTTAGCACCAAATTTCATATAGACACTTCAACTATGTAATGTTCATTTTAAACACCTCATGTAGGGTCCTTTTATATTCTTTTGACCTTTTTTTAAAAAAAAATAAGTAAAAAGGTGAAAGAGAGTAAAATATACTAGTCAATGATGTGGCAAACGACGAATTATATGATTACATGTTTTATTTTAAGTTAAAAACTATTTTAAAATCAATTTAGTAAATAAAATAAAATATTATTCTAAAAAAATCAATTTAACCCCCCTCCCCCATGGTAGCTGTCTTCTCTACTATGCCCAACAATTTTCTTAATTTGCTCTTTAAACATGTTTTAGATTCTTTTTTTCTTTCTATCTTAGTGTTGTTTTGAAAGAAAAAGAGAGGAGGGGGAGGGAGACAAGGAGAGAGAAAAATGATCAAATATAAGAGTTCATATTCATTTTTTCCTGTGAAAAAGGTGAAATCAGAAATCGTCTTTTTTTACACGCTCTATATCTCTTTTGTGCTTTTTTCTTTTCTTTTACTATTTTCTTTCTTTTTGGTGTTTTTTTGTCTGAAGAGATAATAAGGAGAGATAAAATATGAAATATGGATGTTCATATCCATTTATCCGGCGAAAAAGGTAGAGGGAGGTGATGGTAAACTTAGAAAAGTAATACAATGAAGAAGAGAAAATAAATTTAAAAAAAATTGGCTGAATTAAGCATTTCACGCGCTATTGTTGAGTGTATCACGCTCACTTTTGACATGTCAGCAAAAAGTATCAAAATGACACAACGAAACCCTACATGAAGTATCTAAAATAAAAATCGATCAGTTAAGTTTCTAAATGAAATTTGATGCTTCACTGATATATATATATATATATATATATATATATATATATATATATATATATATATATATATATATATATATATATATATATATACACACACACACACACACACTTAGATACCTCTCTTAGATACACTTAGATACACCGTTGAAATTTGCATCTATTGGTATTCATAGGTGAGTAGTGAGTGAGATAAGAGAGAGGAAGCGAGATGCAAGTGAAATTTATTATGCATCCCAAATGTATGTGAATCCACTACATGTATCCTTTGATACATATATCTAATGTATCTAGACGAATCAAAATTTGATAAAATGTGTAATAATGCACACTAAAGCGTAACTAAGTAATTAACTCTTACACTAATAAGATTTATGTAAGTTACCCTATTTATAATTTGTTTGAGAAAGATTAAAATTTGAGTCAATTAAATTAGACATTTCAGGGATATTTGGAGTCTGAGAAATGGATGAATTATAATTTTATATAGAGCCGTTAAAATAGGCCTCAATGGATTAATGATAATTTTATATAGCGCCGCTAAAATAGGCTTAGTCCATGGGGCCGACCCAATCCAACATGTTATTAGGGCAAGGTTGAGATGTGATTTTTCAAACTCATTTAAAACTAGGGCTTATAAGCCCAATCCATAGAAGTTTTTGAGGCTTGATTGGGGTTGGGCTGGAGTCGGTCCATGAGCCATGACTATTTATTTAGAGAAAAATTGTATAATGAAAACCTAATAAATCAAATCAAATGCTATAATCACACTTTAATATAATTGTACCCTGTAGCAAATTGTTTGTCAGTCACCTCTATTCTCAAACTCTCGCTTGCCACTCTCCCTCTCTCGCTCCATCTCTCGTTCGCTCCCTCTCACTTTTATACAAACACAAGTGTATAAATGTGTTTTTGTTTGTATAAAGCGAGAAAAATTATACATATGCATATATTTTTGTTCCCCTCTCTCCCAGATCTCGCTTGCCACTCTCCCAGATCTCGCTCGCCACCCTTGCCTCTATCGTTTATAGAAACAGAAATGAAATATAGAAATTGTGTTTGTGTTTGTATAAAGCAAGAGAAATGTGTATATACACTTGCAAATACATATATCATCGTCCTATACACTTATAATTATACAATACAAATATTTTCCTGCCCAATTTTCTTTTGTCTTTCTCTCTACCTCGTTTTATACATACACAAATTATACAATTGATTTGTATACAACTGTTTTCTTTTGTATATGTATAATGAATTATACATATTTATGTTTGTTATGGAGTGCAATTATGCAAACTTTGTTACAGCATACAAATATGAATTTTGTGTTTGCTATATATGAAAGTTGCTCATTTATTTAAGGGTAACTACAATAATCTCGTTAGTATATGAGCTAATTACATAAATGCACATCATGTTGTAATATTATGAATCTTATCAGATTTTAGTTCGTTTAAATAAGTACATGTATCTCAGGATACATGTGCTCAAAATTAGGTTAATTTGTTTTAGATACACTCTACCTAAGTGGATTCGCATATGCCTAGGATATATAGACAAATCATGCTCTTTTGTCTCCCTCTCATCTCATTCGTCACTCTCTTATCTCGCTTGCGTATCTGAAATGCATCACACGAGATACATACATGTATCTCGCATATCTAATATTTAAAATACATGCTAATTACACTAGATTTTTTGCTAGTGCTACTAAAACTACAACATTGTTTACCATATTGACTTGAAAATCTTCTCATTTTTTTGATATTATAGAATTTTAAGTTTAAAAAGAAAAAAAAACTAGCCCACCTCAACCCTCGACTCTTCTAGGTTGGGTTGGGGATTTTTAGGTTCTTCCTAATGAAGGACTGACCTGCCCTAACAGTTCAAATTTCTTGGCCCACGAGGCAAGGATCAAGCAAGACTTGTGCCGAGCCTTTTTGACAACTCTAATTTAGTATTAATTCAAAGGGTTAATTACTTGAGTGAGTCCCTTTTAATTAATAATTACTTATTTTAGACATGTTCTTTAAATATATCTATAGCAATATATAACAATATTATGTATAGTTAATTTATTAGATTTAACTTCTTGTCTGTGTTGTTTCTTCCTTTCTTTTTATGTCTCGCTTCTTCTTTTCCACCCTGCACCTTCTCTCTCTTTGTGTTCTTTTTCTCTTTCTCTTTTTTTTCTTTCTCTGCATCGTCTCTTTATATGCTCTTTCTATCTTTTTTTCCTCTCTGCAACTCTTCTCTCTATGCTCTTCCTTGATCATTCAATATTTATATATAAAAAAATATTTTATCAAAGAAAATATTTATAAAAAAGTTAGGGATTCATAAATCAAAGAATCGAGGCTGCTTAGTTTGTAGAAGAAGTCGATTAATTATTTATTTATTGCTTTGACGTGTCGACAATTTCCATTATAATGAAGATTATATAAATAATTGCATTCATACTTGATGAGAATTTGTAGATTTGAGTATATATGAAGATATGAAGGTTTAAATAAATGGAGATTGGAAGATATGATGTCATCTTTATGGTCTATACTTTCTCAAATCTAAAAGTGTATTCGTAAGAGACAAGTAATATTTGAAGATACGATTCATCTTTGTAACAAATGAAGATATATAATAAACAACAAAATGAATTAAACTTGAATTAAAAATGTATTACATAATGTATCAATCAATAACATGCAAAATGAATGAAACTTTTACTATAAGTGTATTACACAAATATTAAAGTTGAATTATAAGAGATAATTAAGCATGATTAAAAAAACATCACTAATTAACCAGTCAATGACCTATATAGTGAATTAAACATATATCAATAATGAATTAAACAAGTAATCTAATAGTATCAAATCAACAAATAAACTGCAAAATGAATTAAACTTGTATTACACAAATATTAAAGTTGAATTAGAAGAAAAAATCAAGCATAAATTAAGGACGTAATTAATAAAAGACCACATTGGTCTATAAAAGTGAAATAAAATTGTATCAATAATGAATTAAACAAGTAATCCAATAGTAACAAATCAACCAATAAACTTCAAAATGATTAAATTTGCAACAAAAGTGTATTTATTATATAATTAAAATTGAATAAGAAGAAAAAATTAAGCAGGATTGAAAAAACCTAATTAAACTTGTATTATTCATGAATAAAACATGAATTATGTATGTCTTATAAATTATTTTGATTTGTATCACTACGAACATGAGTAATGTTTGCAATATGTATTAAAAATGTATTGTTCATGAATAAAATTTATATTATATGTCTTCTAATTATTTTAATTTATATCACTAAAAAAATGAGTGATGACTGCAATATGTATTAAAAATGTCGTGTGTGTCTTACAAATGTATTATTAATGTGTTACCTAAATTATTTTTGTTGGCATCACTAAGAAAGAAGTGAAGTGTGCAATATATTTATAAATGTACTATTCATAAAAAACATATACTATATATATCTTATAAATTATTTTGATTTGTATCTCAAAGAAAAAGAGCGATGTTTGCAATTTTTTTTTATTACAAATGTATTGTGGCTATGTTATAATGTGTTACTCAAATTATTTTGATACAAGTTTAATATAATTATGAAACATAACTAATACAACTTTAATGCAATTGCCACACAATTTTGTAAACTTCACCTCTTTCGAGTTTTAATCTAATATTTCTTCTAAAATCAATTGTATAAACTTAACCAAGCCTTGTTAAAACTGAGATAGAAACTCCATACATCATTTTCAATTATTTGCAGGAACAATTTATCAAAAGAATAAATTCGTAAAATTCAAATAATGAATTCAAAATTTGAATCTTTACAATTATCATCAATGGTGAACTCTTGCTGTTGTGCTGTAATTTTAGAAATTTTAAATTTTTTGCTTGAAAATATAATTTTATATAAAAATTATAAAAAATTATATTTTCACAGATGATAAATATTTTTTTAACATGACATATTTATGTGATTTCACCGTAATTCAAATTTTTAAGAGGCATGGTTAAAATTGTCAATTTTGAAACTTGTATAACCCCCTTGATCATTTTTGACACTGTTGTTGAACTATTTCAGGGTTTTATGCTATCTATCTTCTTCCTGTGCACGATCGAGATGCTTGCCCGATTTGATTTCCGTTCTCTCTTCTTCCCTAAACTCCGCGTCCGTTTTCTCCGCTTCTTCTGCTCTTCACAACTCCAGCAAACGCCGCCGGAACTTCCGCAATTCGAACCCTCAAACGACGCCGACTTAATTTCTCAGCTACTCCTCCAACACCACAATCCATTTCACGCCATGGAATCTTCTCTTCAGCTCCATGGCATTTCCTTCACCCCTTTTCTTGTTCATCAAACTCTCATCCGACTCAAAAACTGTTCTAAAGTCGCCCTTTCCTTCTTTCACTACTCCCAATCGCAACCCAATTCCGACACCTCCACCACCACTGCTTTCAATCTCCTCATCGACATTTTATGCAAAGTCCGCCAGTTCGATGTTGCATGGCAGCTTATTATTCAAATGGACCAGAAATCTGTAAAAACTGATTTCACTACTTTTTATGTGTTGATCCGTAGGCTTATCTCTGCTGGCTTTACCCGCCAAGCCATTAGGACTTTCAGTGAAATGCATGTATTTCTTGATCAATACGGTGAAGATGAAGTATGGAAATTGTATTTTATTTATCTTCTTGATACTCTTTGTAAATATGGATATGTTAAGGTGGCTACTGAAGTTTTTAATAAAGAAAAATGGAGATTGGAGCTCAACTGTAAGGTTTATACTATTCTGATGTATGGTTGGTGTAAAGTGAAGAATGTAGAGATGGCTAGGAGGTTTCTTGGGGAGATGATGGATAAGGGTATTGATCCAAACGTGGTAAGTTACAATGTTTTGTTGAATGGAATTTGTAGGAGAGCGAGTTTGCATCCGGATGGTAGGTTTGACAAGGTAATCAGGGAAGCAGAGAAGGTGTTTGAAGAAATGACTGAAAGAGGTGTGGAGCCAGATGTAACCAGCTATTCCATACTCCTCCATGTCTATAGCCGGTCTCATAAGCCTGAGTTATCACTTGAGAAATTAAGGATTATGAAACGCAAAGGGATATGCCCGAATATTGTGACATATACCTCAGTTATCAAGTGTCTCTGCACTTGTGGTAGGATTGAAGATGCGGAGCTGTTACTCGAGCAAATGGGTTCTAATGGGGTTACTCCCACATCCACCACTTACAATTGTTTCTTTAAAGAATTCAAAGGGAGGAAGGATGTCGAAGGTGCGTTGAGGTTGTATGGGAAAATGAAGCAGGGTTCCCTCTGCTTACCTAGCGTGAGTACATTCAACATCTTGTTGGGGATGTTACTGAAATTAGGTCGAATAGGGATGGCAAGAGATATTTGGGACGATATGAAGGATTCTGGAGCAGGGCCTGATTTGGATTCATATACATTGTTGATTCATGGATTTTGTGAGAAGAAAAAATGGAAAACAGCCTGTGAATTCTTTATGGAAATGATAGAAAAGGGATTTCTGCCACAGAAGGTCACCTTCGAGACACTTTATAGAGGCTTAATACAATCCAATATGCTGAGAACTTGGAGAAGGTTAAAAAAAAGGCTTGATGAGGAATCAATAACTTTTGGTTCAGAATTTGAAAATTATCATCTCAAGCCTTATAGAAGGTAATCTGATGAAGTTCTGAAAGGGGTACAAGGCTGAACAATCTAATGTCAAGCTAAAGTGTTAACTGATATTTTCTGATTAATGGAGAGCTATTTATAATTGATGGTGTAACAGACATCAAGAACAAAAGTAAGAACCTTAGGCTATAGTTCAGGCTGTAAGGGTGACGCCAGGCACATTAAATGAGACACTGTTCATCCCAAAGGCATCCTATGTACCAACAACACATGCACTTCTTCCTTACCACCAATCTCAAGGAGGAGCATTCTCCCAACCAAGTAGTGCAATGAGTCAGGATTGGAAGTTGTTCAAGCAAATGATGCTCCAATGGCTTCTCTCACGACTTCCATCAGAAAATCTTTAAGGGCAAACGAGCAAAATTTCTCAAGCCCTCAACTCTAGACCAAAAGGTTCTCTACCAAGTAATACGGTGGCTATAATCCTTAAGGTACTGAAGAGAGAAAATGTAAAACTTTGGTGTAATGTCAACAAAATATTAAAAAATCCACTACTCATCTTCAGTTGTGAAGAGGATGAGTAAGAAGGCAATGGAATGTTGCTGAATGTTAAGTGTATTGTTTTTTAAATCGTTTTTGTAGTGCATAGTGTTGGGTGTTTTTCCTCCTTATCATTGGTCACCTTCGTTTTTAAATGTATACATCCAATTCATCGTTTTCTCCTTACTATGTGCTGGTAAATTTCTTCTTACTGTTCCTACTGCTGAATGTTCTAGTCTGCGGTTCGGAACCTTAAGCTTAACTCAAGTTGTGATCTATGCTGGTAGTAGTAACACTTTTTCTTACTCATAAATCTGCTGTCTGTATGCTCTGGAACTATGTTGCTCAGACTCTTCAAAAATGTCAATTGTTGCGTGTCGGATTCGCCAAAAGTAGTGTATTTTTGAAGAATCCGAGACGGGTGTGGCATCAAAAGTGAAGAGTCCGCAACTAAGCTCTGGAATATGAAATCCAAAAGGGGGGGGGGGGGGAGAGAATGTTTGTTATTCCCTGCCCTTATTTAATTGTTTTAGTGATGTTGTTCACTTTTCTCCTTTAAAAAGGAGTCTTGTGTTTGTAATCTCTATGTGTTGTATGTCGCTTGTTTTGTATCACACTTGGTGTTGCTTGGTATGGGAGTAGCATTTTAGGAGTTTGGCTAGACTTCGATTATGATGCCATTGGCTACTGCTGCTGCTCCATGATTTATGGAGAAGTTAAGCATTGATGCTGCATGTTGCAGAAATCTGAAAAAATGTTCAGGTAGTTTGATATGTAATCAAGTCAGTTCTGTTCTTCTCCCACCTGGCTACCCTCCATAAAAATAGAGAACTAACATAATTAGGGTTGTGAATTGTAAATTTGCTGGGAGTATCATATAGGAATGGTTTTATCTGTGTTTCTATTTGTTGATACTTTAGATGCAAGTTGCACATTTTGCCTCCAGACTAATAGAGGAGATAGAAACCGGAGGGTAAGAGCAGCATTTGTCTAACATCAAACCAGCTAATAAGATAAAATACTCTTACGAACTGCCAATGGTGGGCTGGACCACTTATCTGCTTGAATCATTCTGCCTAACCCTAATGTAGATCCTGCTAGCTTAGTTTGGATTTTAAATTCTTACGAAAAGATGTGGTCCTCAGTGGCCATTTGTTCCGGTGCGTCTATACAACTTATTAAGGGACATATTTCTTTTAAATGTAATCAATTCGTGAAGCTGCACTGTTTTTCGAACAACACCCTCATAATCACACAATTATCAAAAAACAGAGGAGCTGTTAATATTGGTAGTGCATTTAAATTTAAATGGGTGATGATTTCCTTGTATTTTTCAACTCTCCTTTGACAGGTAAGCTCACACTCAAGATTAGCATCTTATTTCCACTCTCCTGTTTTCTATTCCCCTGTCCTAGTTTTTAGTCATTCTTGGTTGAATTTACCAAAAGCATATCATGCACACATGCCGTATTGGCCTAATAGATCTTCATGTTATGAGAGAACAGATGATACTAAGACCAAAGTTTCATGGAATGCATATCCATTAACTTTCCAGAAATGTAGAAGTTACAACTTACAAAAACCTTTCTTGTTTTTATTCATTATTTCCTTTTTACTTTTTTTTCTTCTGAGAGCCGCACTATGATTTTCTGAATAAATCTTTGTGTTCATGAAGAGTTCACTAGACTGAAGGTAAATTATCTGGACATTGATTTTAATTTCAAGCTGAAATTTAAGGAGAGGAGCTTATAGTTCTAATAAACTTTAACTATTGGCTGGAATTCTTAATTTCCTGGGGCATGGTTCTGTTGGTGACATTGTTCTTGGTTATCTTTTGAATTGCTCTATATGAGCTCAGATGATGCATCCTTATGCCAATGAATAAAGCATATGCGTATATGACCTTTCCATTGCTCATTCAAAGTTTAAGCATGTTTGGTGAATAAATTTGTGGATGCTTTTCGCGTATAATTGGTTTGACCTTTTCATTGTTGACTTGCTGGCTCTGATTGCATCCTTGCTTGTATCTTTTCTTGGTTTGATGCCAGAATTTGGTTGAGGAGAAGGATAAGAAAGTGAAGGAGTTGCAAGATTACACTGTTGCGTCCATTTTACCCCCACAAAAGCAAAATAGGCAAGATGCTAATGGCTAAATGTAGGACGCATAATGAAGGAAAGGTATTAGATGATTTTCTAGATGTGTGAAGTATAAAATATAAATTCTTTTAGTTCAAAACTACCGATACAAAAAGAAATTCTTTTTTCAAAAACTGAATTTAGAGATGGAAGAGACTAGTCTATTCATTGGTTACCTAATTGCGTAGCTTGTTTTTTCCAGGTTTGTTAAATTAGAATGGTTGCTTTAAAGGTGATAATAGTGAGATGATACAGAAATACCGTTTCTTTCTTCCCTTGCAGATGCATGAATTAACAATGGAACTGGCTTTGCAGAAGTCTCACAATGCTGAACACAAAAGTCAATTTGAAGGTTAATGTTCTCTCCAATTGCTTTACTAAATACATCAGTTCTTTCCTTTAAATTGGGCTAGGAATTTTTTTGTTTGCTGCTCATTTTATTGTGATTGTTCTTCATGCGATTGATGTACAGGAAAATATTCTCCCCAAAGATTATTGTCTGGATCATTATTTAATGTTTTCCAATGGAAAATGTATTACCTCAAAAGATCATTTCCATCATGATTTTCTATTGTTGGGTTGGATAGAAAAGTAGCAGATATATTGTATGAACCTATGAGGTATAGGCTTAGTATAGTTACAATAATAGTATAATGTGTTCATAATATTGGTATTTTGTAAAAATCATGATGGATCTGTTGTATCATAGATTAGTATAAAAAAAGTTACTTACACTATATGTATAACTTAGATAGTATAAAAATGTGTCTGAGAATCTAGTTTGATAGTGCATTTATATTGTGGGGAAGAGGAGAAGAACAAGTATATAAAACAATATATTAGAAACTTCAATTAAAACACAATCCTGTCAAAATACAAAAATTAAGCTCCCCTTAACAAATCCTCCAAAAAAATCAAAGTGAATATATAATCCAAGTACAGGCAAGGAAATGGGTCATCATCATCATCATCCTAAGCTAAATAAAGAGATACCAATTCATACATATAGAGGCAAACTAAGACAAATGATGCAGGATGAAAGAGAGTTCTACATTAGAAAGCTGAGTAGACCCCATCCTAAGACCAAGCTTTTCACGATCATTGTTGACAATTTCAGGCCCTCTACTCCGCTCTGCAAATTAAATATGCTTCCAAATATTAAGAAATGACTATAAAAATAATTGCTTTTAAGAAGGGTTACTAATTAAATAGGATTACCAGCTTATTAAAGTAAAGGAACTTAGGAAACAAAGAAAATCATATAATTAGTGGTATTCTTATCTTTGTTTTTGCGGATGTTTGGTCCATTGCATTTTAAATGAAAATTTAAGAGTATAATATAAAAATTTTACAATGTTACCCTTCAGTTTTGAAGTAAATGAAAAATAGAAAGATTGTAAAGTCAAGTGTTATTTGGTCTTCTTGACGTATTTAATCCCTGTAAAGTGAATCCAATCATAATTTATCTCATGTTGAATTAGGATATTAAATAATAGTAGTAATGGAATTGTGATATAAATCTTATAAAACAAAATGTTAACCAAATGAAATATAAAACATTGTCTAATTTCACACACACAAATTATTCTCTAACTGATTCTTAAACAAAATTCGATGACCAAGATCTTCGTTAAACACATCAGATCTATAGTGTATCAATGTGAATTTAATCAACCAATCATAACTGCAGTCAGTGACACTATAAATCTTGGCACATACAAAGCGATCTAAATCAATTCAAGGTAGCACACTGGATGTTGGTGTATGTGGGCTGTTTATTCTATTAGTACTCACAACACCCTATATATTACTTCTGCCGCCAGAACACTAATCTGACAATAAAATGTGGACAAAGCTAATACAGCATCAATCATGCTGATCCCCAAAGCCTTTTAAACTGAAAACTAAACTATCTGTACACAAACTAATTAGTTTTAAAAAATCATTTACTAACTTATTACACTGATGAAGTGTATTATAATTAGTCGTGTATTAGATTATACCTACATCTTTATCTAGGTATAACCTATCAATTTTTTTGTTACGAAGAATTACTCACTATACTAAATTGTCCAATTTAGAAACATATTTAATTAGAGCTAGATCATATATCTAAAACTAAATGTATTTAAAGCATCCAATCAGTTCGTAAATCCAATGTACGGGATCCTAAATAACTACTGATTTATATATTTGATTTGAAAGTATGGAATCACCTTTAACTTTAAATGATTAACAAAGAAAATAAAATATGCATGTACCTGATCAGTAGCTGAAGGAGCAGGAGATAAAGCTCCAAGACTTGGGGCTAGGGCTGGGGCGGGAGGACTAAATCCTAAAGGAGATGGTGCTGGAGAAGTCAATTTCTTCGCAGGAGCTGGAGCAGGAGTTGATGCAAGTGGCGCAGGAGAAGGTGCTGCTGGAGGAGGTGGAGAGTTCACTGGTGGAGGAGGAGAAGCAATAGGAGTAGGAGGTGCTGGTGGTGGAGAAGTTACAACAGGAGGTGGGGATGAAACTGTGGGGGGTGGTGAAGCAGTTGGTGGTGGCTGAGCCGGTGGTGTTTGGGTGTTAACTGGAGGAGGAGAACCAGTGGGTGTAGGTGGAGCTTGGGTAGTGGGTGTAGGTGGTGCTTGGGTAGTAGGTGTTGGAGGAGCCTGGTTAGTGGGTGTTGGTGGAGCCTGTGTAGGTGGTGCTTGGTTAGTAGGTGTTGGGGGTGCCTGTGTTGGTGGTGCCTGTGTAGGGGGTGTCTGGGTAGGGGGTGCTTGGTTAGTAGGGGGTGCCTGTGTAGGTGGTGCTTGGGTAGGGGGTGCTTGGTTAGTAGGAGGTGTTGGAGGTGCTTGACCTCCAACCCCAGCTACGATAATGCAGATAATAAATCCCAACAGAACAGCATAATTCCTACCCATCATTTTGACAATGCAGAGGAGGAAACTAAAGGAATGTGAAAGAAGATATTTGGTTGCTGCTTGTGAAAAGAGAGGTTTGGGAAGGGAATATATAAGGGATTTTCTAAAAGTAGTATAGTATATATTTGAAGGTTGCAAAAGAAAGAGTAGAAAGGTGGCAAATCCAATTAGGATTAATTTGTAGCAACAGTGTTGAGTTGTGACTACCAAATACATTTTGTATGTTATTATCTTACTTTGGTGTTAAAGAGATATCAACTAGCTAGGTTAGGCCTTGTATTGCACTTCACTTTACCAATGCCTCTTGTTGGGGCTGTCTTTTTCTCCCTATGTATTTTCATTCATTATATTCAATTATAATGTTATCTCAGTGTATCCGATATCAATTGCATTAGTGTATCTGATATCAAATATTTAGTATATCCATGAATAAATACATGTACCTAATATTAAAAATACATGAATTTTATATCAGTGTATGCACCGATACATCTAGCAATTGTATGTAAGTGTCATTCCTGCTTAGCAGAAAGAGGGGAGGGAGAGGAGAAACCGATGGGGAGAGGAAAAAAGAAGTAAAGAGCAAGAGTAAGAAGGGGGAGAGAGGCGAGCGAGAGGAGAAGGAAAATAGTTTTTTTCTTTTTGTAATTATTTTTAAAATAAATATGATAAAAATATTTGTCTAATTAAATTGTTTTTCCTTTTGCTTATTTTCATGCAGATAGAAAACATGAATGATGAACAAGAAATGGGTGGCCCAATGGTTGGTATTGATTCGAAAGAAAGGAAGATCGATCATTCAACGTAATTCTCAAGCCATTTTGCTTCCCTTTACTCTCTCTCAGTCTATGCACTAATTTTTCTTTTTCAAAATTCTAATTACGAAAATGAATATAACTTTATAATATTGAGTTGATCTAAATCAATTTTCACTCCACAGAGAAGAAAAAGAAAACTTTATCATGATAACAATCCTGAGCAACAGACAAGTTTATTAATTGTCACATTACCTTTTTAAAAAGCTTAAATTATGAGGTTTGCATTATGATTATACCTAAATAGTTCTATTTGTTATCATAATTAAGTTCATTATTTGTTATTCTACCTCTCATTGCTAATCATTCTAAATTAAGCACTACATTCTACCACCTTTCTTCCCGTTTAGCGTTGTTTGCACTCAACAGGGTAAAAATATACGTGAAGTCTTTTGCTTTTTGGAGATTTAAATTATATTGACATAAGAAAAATCATAACTTACTTTAGTTTATATGGTTTTTGAATATTCAAATTTTTAATTTGAAAATATTAGGTTAATCTATTTAATTTTTCTTCAAAGTGTATAGTTAAAATGATTCTTTAAAAATGAAAAGACGCGTAAATTAAGATAAAGAAAGTAGCATCTTCGTTTAGTTACAAAAATGGATTTGTTTTCTCGAAGAATTATTATTATTATAATAGCCTTTTAGAGAAAACTTTTAGAAACGAATAGTTCGTGTTTGTTTAATTCATTTGTAAGGGGTTTTTAAAGTTTTGAAGTAGTGAATATAAAAAAGAATAAGTATCAATGAACGTTTAATATTAAGGTTACTTTTTAAAGAGAAACTATAAATATCTGTTATAAAATATTTTATTTAAGTTTTTACTTTTATTTAATTAAGATTTTCAATCAATGTAATGTATAGATAAATCAAAATCCTTAAAAATATTTTACTTTTGGACAAACACCTTAACTTTTAAAAAGTTTTTTTTTTTCGAGAAAGAATGCTTTCGTCCAAATTGTTTGGCCAAACAGGCACTCAGTCTAATGTGACACTTTCAAAATTGTAAATCCTCGTACAGTTTGTATTCGTTTGAATATGTGATATAAAATTATATTGAAATAAAATTAGGGCCGTTTGTTTACGGTATAAGAGGGCTTGTTATTCATGTATAAAATATTATATTAGTTTTATAATGTTTGTTAAAAGTTTTTTGTTAGGTTCAAAAGTCAATCGGACTTTTTGTAGTCCTACATAATTAATACCAACATAACTTATGAGGAAATCTATATATAAAGTTATGCAGGATAGAAGGTAGAATAAATTATGTGGGTATTAGTTATACATGTATTAAAGTGATAAATTATATATTTACCCTATCAATTTATTTAATTGTTTTTATTATTTTTCTATATATAGGTTTGTTGTTTTTATTTATCTTTTATACTAAGACCATTTTTATTTCTTTTATTTTTTTTAATTGGAACTTTATTATTTCCAATCAAAATATGTTGTTTTATTTTTTATTATATATAGAATATTTTCAATTCTTTTTATATACTTACCATTTTGATTGATTTATGCAAAAAAAAGAATATTTTTTTAATATTAGAAATTTATTGTATATTTTTTAACGGTACATAAGCTAATCAAATATTAACATTATATATTACTCAATATATTTCACATTTATTAGCATGTATTATTATTTTCTAAATAATATATATTAATAATTTACAATAAGTTTAATATTGAATAGTTAATAATTCATGTGTTGTGATCTCTATGTAACTAAATAATATCTACATAAATAATATTCACATAATTAGTACCTGCATATCTAATATTTGCATAATTAAACCCTGCATAGCTAATACCTGCATAACTCTAATCAGTAACCAAACAACCCCTTAAAGTTTTATGTTAACTTTCTCATTTTCTTTTATTACTGTTAGTTGGTATTATTGTTCATAGTTGGTTAAATAAATAATCAGTTAGTTAATGAGCTGTCATCGGTTAGTTGTGGATTAGAGTCAGTTAGAAAATGCATTTTGTGACTGAATTTGTATATGAAACATTTGTATATAAGAAGGCACAAGTGTAACACTCATGATTGATTCAGTAAGATTTTTCTTCTTCTTCTTCAAAATTTAGTTAATCTCTAGATCCTTCAATGGTGTTTTTTCATATTCTTTACTTGAATTTTCACATGGTATCAAAGCCAGGTTATACTTGTGATCCAATAAATCAAAGTAGAAGTAGATCAGAGTAGTGTTTACACTACAATAGAGCTATGAAGAAGACATCAATGGCGACAATGCGAATTGATCCTCTTTATATAGGTCCATCAGATGCTTCAAGTGCAGTTTTGATTCCTATCAAGCTCACAGGCCCTGAAAATTACGGTGTGTGGAGTAGATCAATGAGAATTGCATTGACGGGGAAGAGGAAAATTGGATTTATTACAGGAGCTTACAGTAGATCTCTGTATCGAGATGAATTACATGAACAGTGGGAAACATGTAATGCAATTGTATTGTCATGGTTGATGAGTTCAGTCAGTGAAGATCTTTTAAGTGGAATAGTGTATGCTACCAATGCTTATACAGTTTGGGCGGACTTGAAAGAAAAGTTCGACAACATCAATCGAATGAGAATTTACTAGCTGCACAGGGAAATCAACACACTCTCACAAGGTACTGATTCAGTTTCAACTTACTACACTAAATTAAAGAATTTGTGGGAGGAATACCTTCCCCTAGTTGTGCATGTCCAAAATCCAAAGAATATGCAGATCACCTATCAGCTTAGACTAATTCAGTTCCTTAGTGGTTTGAATGAGTCGTATGAACATGCTAAGAGACAAATTTTGTTAAAAGGTGTTACTCATTATATTAATCAAGCTTATGCCATGATTATAGAGGATGAGCTTCAACAACAAACAACTTTTATAGCCATTTTTAATAATGTACCGGAGCCAGTAGCTATGAGTGTTAACAGAGGTAACAATCATAATCAGGAAGAAGATGTGAATATTGTCAGTATACTGGACACACTAAGGAAAATTGTTACAAATTAATTGGCTATCCAGCAGATTGGAAACACAGAAAGAAGTCTGGTTTCAATAATTCAAGGTCAAGTCCAATGCATCCTTCATCTGGAAGACATGGCTACAATCATTCTGGAGAAGCTAACAACATATCCAAAGATAATTATGGAGAAGCTTCTTCTAGTCATCATGAAGTAAACAATGCTTTTGTTGCCAGAGGACATGCATTTACTGATGGAGAATACAAATAAATAATGGACATGTTAGGGAAGGATAAGAAGGACATGAAGCAGGTCAACATGAAAGGTATGGCAAATTGTTTTGTTTTTCAACTAATGTTGCCTCTCATTGTTGGATAGTAGACTCTGGTGTTTCTCATCAAATTACAACAAATGAACATTTGTTGAAAAATAGTAAATGCACAGCTAGTTCTCACCAAGACAAGGTGAATTTACCTACAGGTGATAAGGCCTTTATATCACACATAGGAGAAACATGTTTTCTTAACAACGAAGTGATTAAAGATGTGTTGTGTGTATCTGAGTTTAAGTTCAACTTGTTGTCTGTCTCACAACTAACCAGGGAACTATCATGTTTTGTTTCCTTTTACCCTAAATTCTGTATATTTCAAGACCTTTACAGTGGCAGGGTGAAGGGGGTTGGTAAGGGAAGAAGGGAGCATGTACATATTCAGAAATGATTCTATCATGAAAGGAAAATGTGAATCTCAAAACATCAGAAAATTACTGTATGGGTATCGTTGCAGGATTGTGAATTGTGGCATAAAAGGCTTGGTCATCCTTCAATTCAAGCACTGCAAGGTTTAGACCTACTACATAGCAATAAAGACATTGATTTACTTACTAGTTGTTCAGTCTATCCATTAGCTAAGCAAACTAGATTGTCATTTCCTACCAGTGCATCCAAAACTTCTAAATGCTTTGAACTTGTAGACATGGATATATGGGGACCATATAAGGTTCCCACATTTAATAAGAAATACTAGTTTCTTACAATTGTTGATGATTGCAGCAGATATACTTGGGTGCATTAATTACAGCTTAAGTCTGAACCATTGTAGAATAAAGAATTTCTTTGTATTGATAAAGAATCATTTTGGGCACACCATCAAGACAGTGAGGTCAGACAATAGAATAGAGTTTTTCATCAAAGTATCTGTCCTCACACACCACAGCAAAATGGTATAGTGGAGAGGAAGCATAGACACATCTTGAATGTAGCTAGGGCCATCAAATTTCAGTCTTGTATGCCTCTTAGATTCTGGGGAGTGTGTGTTCAAGCAATTGTGTATTTGATTAATGGACTATCCTCATTAATTTTTCATAATAAAAGTCCATATGAAATATTATTCTCTAAACCTCCCAATATCAGCCTTTTGAGAGTTATAGGTTGTCTTGGTCATGCTTCTATTGTTCTTAGAAATGACAAGTTCTTAGAAAGGGAAAAATTGTGATCATGATGGGATACTCAGAAACTCAGAAGGGTTACTTGTTGTTGGATTTACACACTAAGAAATTCTTAGTCAATAGAGATGTTGTATTTCAGGAACACATCTTTCCTTTTGCCACTTTATAACTTTCACAAACAGTTGCTCCTGTCTTATTACCTGATAGCTTTGAAGATGTTGATAGTTCAGAAGGTACAGTAGCTGAGGGTTGTCCAAATGCAAACACACGGGTTTCCACCATTTTGAATGATGTTTTTGATGAGATGTTGCATGTCCATGATGAGGAGATGTCATTCCAAGAACCAGTTATTGATACAACCGAACCATTAGCTCTAGTTTCTACTAGAAACTCATCTAGACATACCAAACCTACCACACAGATGAAAGATTACATGGCTCCTGTAGTTGGACAGAATAGTAAATATCCTCTAGCAAACCATCTCAGTTATGATCGTGTGTCATCCAAATATCATAGTTACCTAGCAAAGTTTTCAGATATGGTAGAGCCTCAGACATTTGGCCAAGCTAGTAAACATCCCAGATGGATTGAGGCTATGAAGCTGGAAATCAAAGCCCTTGAAGATAACAAGACCTGGCTGGTGGTTGACTTACCTCTAGGCAAACACGCTGTTTATTCTAAATGGATTTACAAAATCAAACACAAGGCTGATGGAGACATAAAAAGGTTCAAATCTAGAATTGTAGCCAAGGGATATAGTCAGCAAGAAAGATTGGATTATCATGATACATTTTCACCAGTTGTAAAAATGGTAACT